GGTTTTAATGCTGTGTTGCGGCAATGAAGGCGCTTTTCAAACACTGGCGCATGCAGAATTTTACTTAGAAGGGGGTTAGGGGTGGCTGTAGACTTTTTGTGACACGGTCTACATTGGATTTTTTTAAAGGTAGGAAAATTTGTTTGGAGGTAGACGTGGAAAAAATCTTGGCGCTTTTTGCGTCATTTGGTAAGATATTGCAAGCCATAATGGGCAGGAAAACGATTGTAACCTGGCGACTAAAAAAGTAATGATTTCATTGCGATGAAAATTTTAAAATCCAGCGACTTTTTGAATAGCGATAGGACAATTCTGATGCAGTTCGGTTCGTTTAAAGGAAGCTCTGTTTAACTGCATCAAACTTTCCATACCGGAAAAACCGATTCAATAAACTACTGTAAAATTTTGAGCAAGCTGCGGCATTTAGTTTGTATTTGACAGCCATTGAAGGCAGATAACCACGTGAATTTTAACGAAAATGGAAAAGTGCTGATTAAGTAGTATTTTTTGTAGTGTTGGAAAGTATCGAGTACTTTTTAGGATCGAGTTCTTTTGTATCGATACTTTTAAGAATCGAGTATTTTTAAGAGTGCCGAGTACTTTCTTTAAAAATAGACGTGTTGGTAACATTACAATGCTTAGTCTAGAAATCTCACAAGCTGGCAGCACCTTATTCAAATTAATATATTAATCCCAATTTACGTCATATGAATGGTTAATTGTACTGAGTACAAGCATTGTACTTGAAAATTACTGAAACCTCAAATTCGGTACAAGCATTTATAAATACCGGTAAATGTAAATGAAACTCAGTATTTTTAAGTATGAATCTATCCGAGTACTTTGAATCGATCCTGAGTACATACATGTATCAAAGAAGTGATTGGAACAGGGTGTTTATGAGTACTGAGTACTTTTGAGTTCTGAGTACTTTCGAGATCTCTCGTGAGTACTGAGTACTTTGGAGTACTCAATATCGATACTTTAAAAAATTAGGTACTCTCGATCCTTTTGAGAATCGGCAATACGTTTGGTATCGACGTCCTAAAGAGATCGTCATCATCGATAAAATTCATCGAAACATATTGGACGATCAGATAAGGAAAGTGTGTGAGGTAGTTGGGAGCTGTAGGCATCTCAACTGAGTGGGTAGATCACATTTTACTTGAATATTTGAAAATAAAAATGGGTGCCACGCTTGCTCACCACTTTAAGGCAGTAGTGTTTGGCGATGTTTAGCCGTAATCCGAACCACAACACACCAGACACCAAGGACCAATCAAAAAATGCACCGAAGAAGGTAGGTCTGTCAGCCAATAAGATCATGGCCACAGTTTTTGGGGATGCACACGATGTCATTCAAGTCGATTGGCTTGAAAAGAGAAAAATGATTTTGGACAGATTCGATATTGATTTGAGGCAAAAACGACCACATTTAGCCAAGAAAAAGTGGTGTTCTATCAAGACAATGCACAGTGCAGTCAACATAGAAAAAAAATCCGTCAATTGGCTGCGAACGCCTACCCCATCCACCATATTCACCACTTTTAGCACCCAGCGACTATTTCCTGTTTTCAAACCTGAAAGTGGCAAACTGGATATCTTACGAAAGGTTGCGCAGACATAAACTCAGGATCTGCATTGACAGCCAAACAGCTCTAAAGGCCTTAGAAACCGATCGCACCTCTTCAAAGATCGTGGTAGCCGTCGGTGAGGTGTTGACACCGGCAAACCAACCAAGAAAAAAAGCCTGACAGTGTGGTATCAAAACTCCTTCTCAGACAAAGAAGGAGAGATCTGCGAGCCTTAATACACTGATTACGGGGCACAATCCATGGGGACGACATCTGATCACCATAGGCGCCATCGACGATCCACTGTTTACATTTTATTTGGAGGATGAGGATAGTACAGAAGATTTGCTCTGCCGCTATACGTCCTTTTCCAGACTTATGCTGGATTTCCACTAGGCATTAAATGGCAAAAATTACAAATTACAAAGTCGGGCATTAAAAAATAATCTTGTCATTACATTAAAAAATAGTCATTAAGTTCGTTTCCACTTGGCATTTTTTTAAATGGCATAAATTTTTTGTCATTTCAATGCCTAGTGGAAATTCGGCATTAGATGGTACATTTTTCGGTCGAATGTATTGAGAATGGACGCGCTACGTGGCCTTCTCCTCAAGTCCGGTAAGTTTGCAGAGGAGTAATTAATTCCCACTTCTCCTATACATGCTTATCCCCTAAATCCTCGCTGTAGGCCTTTACAGGCCTATTCTGCTTGTAACCGAACATTTGGTAAGAAGCTAATTTTGTTACCAACAATTGTCACCACTTCTTGCAACCGAAATTCTATTTACCTTGGTAACGTTTTAATTTATTCAGCAATTCAGCTATGGAGTTTTGTTGAAATTCTGGTGTTGCATATTTCACGGGGCAATATTTTGTTATCTGCTCATGAGATGGTAACAAAATTTACCGGTTACAAGAGTGTGGAGAATACGAAAAGGGTTTAAAAATTTGGCAGCAACTTTACTAACCGGTAACAAAATTTTTGTTACCAACGCAGAATAGGCCTTTCAGTATAATAGGCAATACTGCCTGAGTGCTTGCAAAAATTGTTTTTGGTTTTTTCTGTCGCCCACAATTCTATTCCATTACATTCCATAGTGAAATGAACGAGCAGTTATTATGTAAAAAAGTACGGAAGCTTAAGGGAGTTTTTACGAATAACAAAAATTGTACTTGGCTGTCGTACATTTGATAAGTTTAGAATTAAGATTGGAAGGGGGAAAAAAGTCAGATTTGGATGAAATTTGATATCCAAAGGATCCTCGAGTCGCTGATTACAAAATTGAAATCAGTTTCCGAAAATTCAAAATGGCAAATTCAGTAGGGCGGATGGATTTTTTTTTTTTAATTTTAGATTTTTATGAGATTTGATATACAAATATTCTTCGAGTCGCTTATTACAAAATTGAAAACAGTTTTTAAAAATCCAAAATGGCGTATCCAATATGGCGGTTGGATTTAAAAGAAAAAAAATCAGATTTTCATGAAATTTGATATCCACAGGTTTTTGAATCGCTAATTACAACACTGAAATCAGTTTACTAAAATTCAAAATGGCAGTGGGATTTAAAGAAAATTCGGATTTTTAGGAAATTTGATATCCAAAAGTTCTCTGAGTCGGTGATTACAAATATGGCGGTGGGATTTAAAAAAAAAAATCGGATTTTCGGGTATTTTGATATCCAAAATTTCTTTCAGTCGCTGAATACAAAACTGAAATCCGTTGTCAAAGATTAAAAATGGCGGATGGGTTTTTTAAAACATTTTCCAATTTTTGTGAAATTTGATATCTAAAAGTTCTTTTGTCGCTGATTACAAAACTGAAATCAGTTTCCAAAGTCCGTGTCGGGCGGCGTTATATGTACGTATGCTTCAGATGTATCTACTTGAAAAACTATTTAATTTTTTTATTTAGTTTTATTAGCTGTTTGACCACACGCAGCACATTTATTCGCATACACGCAAGTAAGCTTACTATAATCGATACTTTTCCACATTTCGTTTATTTTTGTTATTATGTTTTCCTACTAACCCTCAAACTAAAAACACATGTTCGCTTTTTCTCCCTTTTTATGCCACTTTTCAAGCAGGCAATTACTTTGGCGAAGACATGCGAGGCCACAACAGAGATGCGTGAGTGCAACTCGCCCAAGGATTGGTCCCTATTGGCGCTACAAAACATACGCACTGGCAAGTCACATTATCTAATCATCTGCAGGTGTCCGGATCATTTCAAAATGGGTAAGTTTCCGGCGGCGTGTAGCACACGAGACAAGGAATGCGCGCTGCGCACTTAATAAGCAATTTTCCAAATAAACAATTAAATGCATAATTCCACAAAATTGATAGATAATAGCTGCATATCAAACTCATGAGTTAATTAAGCTAATACACTTTTGATTAATTCTTGACACTTTCTTCCTCCTTCTATTTCTCGCTTCTCGCATGCACGCACAGAGGGTCCCATGGCGCATGATCAGCCCAAGTATGCCAGCGTGCCCGGCATACGCGTCTTCGGTATGATGTGCGTGAAGCCCGGTTACTCCGTACGCAAGCCATCGTCACAACCGCCCAAGCGCTATCAACTACAGAAACCATTCTATCGGCCAGGCACGCAAAGCAACAGCGCCTACATCAATGTGCCACAATATGGCGTTAAAGACACCTATGGCCGACCGAGCTCGTCGTCATCGTTGGCGGCAACTAGCAATTATCATGCGGAAAATAGTTTCTCAAACCAACACCAATCAGGCGGCTATCAATATTTGAATCGACCAGACACTAGCAGCAGCAACATTAATCCACATCAATCGCTCAGCGTCGGCANGTAACGATATAAACGCAATAATTTGCATTTTGTAATTCGCTTGTAATTTGTAATAAATTATTTTTTATTAAAAATATAAACAGGATTATTTTATAATAAATTAATAATATTGACCAGGGCGAAGCTATGAATTTAATTAAAGGCCAGAGAAGTAACCTGAAAACGGTGAGAGGTAAGGAGCCCTTCAACCGGGCAAAAGTTAAATAGGAACTACCTACAACAAAAAAAAAAAATCGCTAAACAAAACTTCAAAGAGCCTTAGCTAGAAGAAGAAAAGATGAATGTCAAAGGACGTTAAAACTCGCAGAAAACTTCTACCCCTTCTGGCCATCACTAATTTTCGGGGAAGAATGCGCCGAGGGTTCGCCAGAGCAGCGTAACATCCTTTTTTAAGGAGGCCACAGAGGCACTTGCGACGCCCCGAGGGTTCCACCATTCCTAAATGTCTTTGAACCATCCTGATTCCCTAAACTATCTAGGCTCTCGTAGAAATGGTCCCCCAGGAATTTGGACCGCTTACTCCGTAGTGCAGCGCACTCAAAAATTAAGTGTTGGACAGATTCTAACTCCTCCTTATCGCTGCAGCTTCTACAGAAATCGTTATTTGGCACTCCAAACCTGGCGGTCATATGGCCAATAGCCCAGTGTCCCGATATTATTCTTGTGTGAAGCGCAACGTTTGGCTTTGAGAGCCTTAGCAAACTCCACGTTTTTCGTACATCAAGCCGTAGCCAGAGCGAGCGCAATAAAGCCCAAATTCTGCAGATGTTTCTACCTGCTGTTGCTGTTACAGATTTTGTAGGGATCTTTGGCCTTCTTTAGCGCATAAAAAATTCATCGTTGCCGACCCTAATGCTTTGATTCTAACTTAAATATCAACAACGAAGGCAGGTTTAGATAGAGCTGGGTCAATCATGCTTACCATTTCTGCCGCCATGTAAATCGCATATATCTCAGCCTGGACACCGCGGCAGTGATCTGGGAGTCTATAGTACTCTCCCAGAGCTCAGAGCTTTCATATCTGGCCAAAGACAGACACTCTAGCATCATACTCTAATATTAGTTAGGGAATTTATACGCAGTTACAATAACAACATTCACTCTCTGTCTCTCCTTAATCAGTTGGGTTTCATTAAGGCTTCAGGGGTAAACTAGCATTTATTTATCAAGAGGTTTAAGGGCACAATAGACCCAGGAGCGCAACGCAAGTCATCCAATATATCTGTCGTAACCTAAAGAGCGGTGACCAGGGTCTCAATAACTGCCCGAATAGTTGTCAGATTGTCCCTCACAAAGCTACAACGCCAGGGTTTTGTGTGTGTCAGACATGCGCTGCGCAAAAAATTAAACGAAAGCAATATAGGATATTCTTGTAATGGACTCTGCCTTGAACTGATAATGATATAACGGCTCCGGAGTAGAAAAGTCTAAAAAGAAGTGATTTTTTTTTTTTATAGGTTCGTCCACCATACGAGAAACACACCGAGCACAGAAACTAAGCAGAGAATGCACTTGCCGTAAGGATGCGATGTTTTATTCTTCTTGGTTTTGAGATTAGATTGCCAAGCGATACCGAACACTTGGAGCACTAGCAGACCGTTCCCACGATAGTCGGGTCTACGTAACCGGAACGACCCAGATTTATATCTGGCCAAGGACTGTCACTTCAGCAACACTCCCCAAAAAGTCTTTGGGGAATTTGTATGCTGCTTCAACAACAAGCACTAGCAGACCATCGCTTTAGCCTTAGATTATAAAATAAATAAATAATTCTTTACGAGCGGCGAAAGGAGAGAGCAACGGACGTTCCCACAACAGTCGGATCTACATAGCCGGAACGACCCAGATTTATATCTGGCCAAGGACTGTCACTCCAGCAACACTCCCCGAAAATTCTTTGAGGAATATGTATGCAGTTACAACTACAACAGCAACAGACGTTGCTGTAGTAGTATCTACCTCCTATATTTTTCCTTTTGAGATGTGTTTTTAACCGACTTCACAAAAAAGATCAAGGAAAGGTGTTACCTCACAGGTGGTCCCATATTAATTTGGTTTAAACCTGATCATTGGATCATAGAGAAATTAACGATAATCTTAAATTTTTATATGAGAATTGAAGTCGGTTTTGTTTTTTGCTTAGAAATTACTTGTTAATTAATATGGTCGTGATTAATTGTTGTATCAGAAAAACATTTAATATAATAATAATAATTTAGAAAAATTAAGTATTTTGACTTACCTAGAACTTCAGCATTGACCACAATGTTGCAGCTGTACATAGGACTAACCAGACGTTGTGGTTGTGCCTGGAATGCCATGCGACATGACTCTTTCGATGCAGTTAACACTTGTCCTATAGAAGCACAAGAAAAGAAATAAATATTAATTAACGAATTTCTATGTAAAAAGAAATGTTAACAAACCTGAAAAAGGACCATACGACTTGGAATTCAAATCCTCGTTTGCTTCCACAGTCCATTCGAGCACAACAAAAGCCACACCCTGCATGGGCTCTTCACATAGCGGGCCAGCAGCGGTCACCAATTGAAAACCGTTAACAAATGAACTATTATAATCCCGACGTACATCAGACACCGCTTTGGCAATGGCATCTACATCAATTTGATGTGTGAGTGACTGCCAGAAATTTGGTTGTTCATAATCAGTCAAATTCAAGAGGATATTCGTGCCGCAATTACGCGGACCTAGTGCCCAAATGCGCTCTACGAGCTCTGTTGGCTTTAGCGCAGTTAAGCCTTTCAAATCGAACTCAGTTAAAGCATTGGTAAGTTGAGTTTTTATTTGCGCTATTAGCGTCGAATACTTTTCGGATACAGTAATGCCTTTTACGTTCGTCGCTAATTCTTTAAAGAAGCTAATATATTTATCCAATATGTCCACAGCAGTCTGGGGCAGTGGCAAAGCTATAACACGTATCGTGCCAAACTTGTTGGCTGTTTGTTGTGTGATAATCTTTTTTGTTATATCCTTGTCTGTAGCTGTTTTTATGATGGCTTCGTTCACCATATCGATAGTGGCTTCAGGCACTATTGTTTCGCGGAAAGATACAATGGGCTCGGACACATTTACTTTAATCTTTGCATAGCTTTCCTCTAGATCCCGCACACATTTTTCTACATGCACTTCACCTAATGTAGTGATTACATGCTCGCCAGTTGGCGCCATTGATACCTCAACGCATGCATCTGCCTAAATTTATCAAAGAATAGGATATTTAGTGAAAACGCTTAACTTTTTTGTATGGTATCTCTAGCAGTTCTTATTACCTGATTCAATAATTTCAGCCCCTTCACAAGTTTGGGCAAATCCTGTGGATTAACGGGCTCAATAGCTACACGCAAAATGGGTGTGGCCATTACACTTAACTCGCTAAATGACGTACAATTGATGGTGCTGCTCAATGTTGCCGTTTTAATAATATCTTCATCCAAACCGCCTATGCCCACAATGTTACCAGCAGGTACCTCATCAAGTGCCTGTAGCTCACCACCCATAAACAAATACAGATCCCCTATCGTCACTTCGCTTATGTAAGGCGAGTCCGAATTCAGCTGCCTAAAATGTAAAAAAAAAATTTAATAAACAACAATGATGAGAATGTACTCAATTTTTATACTAACTCTTTATTTCTGGGATCATGTTTGGGCGCCAAATTGTACAGTCGCATACCCGTTTTAAGAGTACCACTGAAAATGCGCGCAAAAGCAATGAAAACATAATCCGCCTTTTCAGGTGGCTCCTGCTCGACATTTTTTTGGACCTCAGTTTGTGCAGGTGTTTCTTCTACATTCAGTTGCTCTATGCCGACGGTTAGATTTTCCAGTTCGGCCTTTTCAGCAAACTGCTTTCGATCTTCAATCCGACGACGCACTTCTTCACGCCGGGCTTGCAACTGTTCCTCATTCAAACGCTTGGGCTTATTTTGAGGCAACTGTGAAACGTGCACTGGCGTCATCTGCGGACAATAAAAATATTATCAATGGAAATAATATATAAGAAGTCATACACATTTGACCATGAAAATATATGTACATACCTTAGAAACAAACACAATGACGTTAAGGCTCTCATCGCTGCAACGTTTAAAATCTTCCTTCAACAACAAAGTTTCTTTAGAATATGCATTCAACGCTACATTGCGTGGAAAGAGCAATCTTTCTGCGCGTTCATCGGAAATGACATTTGGTGGCGGCACATGTCGCACCACCATTTCCAGCACAGTGCGATCTATGGGCAACCACTGTCCGAAAACAGTTTTTATTTGTACTTTGGGATCCGAAATACGTAAATCACGAGCCTGTAATTTTATGCCCAATTTCTCTGCGATAATCGGTAATTTTTCCTTATCTTTGCGTACTGCTATGATATCATATAGGCTCCAAATATTTTCTAAAACGAATTGCACAAACATAGGTTTCTTAGCCTTTTCTTGTGCACCGGCAAGTGCATATTTCTGTTTGGTGTTGTAGAAAAAATCACCCCAGAGAACTTGTTCGAGATCTGATTGCGTCATTTCTAAACGTTTTGAATATATTTTGGCGAAATCGCTCACCGAGAAAGCCCAACCATCATAAGCGGAACAAAATATGACATTACCGGCAGCTGGAGAAAAATATAAATTTGAATCGTCGACTTCTTCCAATGCAGACTCATAGTTGTCCTGTAAGTATAATAGTTATTAATATTTAATTAGTATTTATAGTATAGGCGATGTTTGTTATACGTCAACGAGTATACCTTTTTCGTTATATCCTCCTTCGAAAGCACATCGGAGGCAAATATACTACCCAGCACAGCATTCACCTGCTCTAAAATTTGCGATATATGAAAGAAAGCATCTAATGGCTTAAGCTGCATTTCCATTATAAGCCGGTCAATTTTATTTAAAACCAGAACGGGCTTTAGTTGTTCTGTATAAACTTGTTCTAAGCATGCGCGCGTTTGTGGGCAAACACCTTCGACCACATCAACCTTAAATGGTGATGGAACATTGGCATTTTATTCATCTACAGCAATCTTCGCATTACTTACCACAACAATGGCGCCATCACACAAGCGCACAGCTGTTGAAACTTCACTGGAAAAGTCCACATGTCCCGGTGAATCAATCAAATTAACGAGATAGTCTTGCTCGTTGTCAGCATTGTCAGCGCCGCCACGGTAATATAGCGATATACTGCTGCTCTTCATAGTTATGCCACGTTCCTGCTCATCTTGACGGGTGTCCAGGTAGCGCAGCTTACCTGCCATACGTTGTGAAATTATGCCATTGCTGGCTACAAGTGAGTCAGCAAGTGTTGTCTTGCCATGATCTACATGTGCCAAAATGCAAATATTGCGCACACGTTCAATGTCTTTTTGGAGTTTCACCAAGGTATTTGTGTCTATAATAGGCATTTTAATCACTTTTGTTATGACTCCTTAGGTGTTTTCTATCGCGCACAAGAAATACAAATGAAAACGAAAGCGCTATGCCGCCAAAGTTAAACCGCACGTGTTTGTTTACTATTGTAGGAAGCTATTTCGTAAATAAGCGCAAATTCCACTACACCCCTTGTCCAATTAGTAAAAGATTGTCGCTTCCAACCAGATTCTTTTGTTTACATCTCATTTGTGAAATAGGAACCAGAGAACGTAAATATACGTTCTCTGTGGGAATCGCAAGTATTCACAATAGCGATCAATTTATTTTCGGTGGTATTTCGCATGAGAATGAAAGTAATTAGGAGATTTCCTTAAACGCGCAAATGTATCGAGAACCTCGAAACTTTTCATCCACGAAAAAAAACTGTAAAAAAATCTATGAAAGACGCATTTCAAGTACCTCGAACACTTTTGAGGCAAATTTGTCAAGTGCTGCGTTTTGATGCAATATACATTTTTTTATTTATTTATTTTTTAATGCAGCTTTTGCATTTAAATCAGCTGATACGATGTATTGTAGAAAAAAAATCTAACTGCATTGAATTTCTGAATTTGGGCATTATTTAATAGGGATTTGGACATTTTCAAATGTGCGCTTGGCAGCCTTGTTAAATATGACGGATCAGCTGATCAAATGTCAAAAGTTGCTGACGTTAATTTCGCACGTTGCTGCATTGCAATCGTTTTTCTTTTCACGAAATTTTCCAGGTCAAATTGCAGAAGACTTATTAACTCATAACTATAAATAAAAATCAGACTGTGTGCCGCCACGCTTCGTAAAAATGGTTGAATTAACTCCGGAGGAAAAAAAGCAGCTGATAACCCGTAATCTACAGGAGACACTGGGCGAGGACAAGCTTAATGCTATACTCAAGGAGCGTGACCTAAAAATCTACTGGGGCACAGCTACTACAGGCAAGCCACATGTAGCATATTTCGTGCCTATGTCGAAAATTGCCGATTTCCTTAAGGCCGGCTGTGAGGTAAAGTAAATTTGCGGAAACTATTCACATATAGAATCACTCAACGTCGGTTGACTCATTTTATCACACCTTTCATTGTTTATTTTCTTTAAAGGTCACTATTCTTTTTGCTGACTTACATGCCTACCTTGATAATATGAAAGCGCCATGGTCGCTGCTCGAACTGCGTACGCAATACTATGAAGCTGTTATAAAGGCTATGTTGAGCTCAATAGGTGTGCCATTAGATAAGCTCAAATTTGTTAAGGGTACCGACTATCAGCTGTCGAGAGAATATACGCTGGATGTGTACAAATTAAGTTCGGTGGTGACGCAGCACGATGCAAGAAAAGCCGGCGCCGAAGTTGTAAAGCAGGTGGAATACCCATTACTTTCGGGTTTGCTGTACCCAGGCTTGCAAGCTTTAGATGAAGAGTATCTCAAAGTAGATGCACAGTTTGGAGGCGTTGATCAGCGTAAAATTTTCACTTTCTCTGAAAAATATTTGCCACAATTGGGCTATGAGAAACGTATTCATTTCATGAATCCCATGGGTATTCAAATTCTTTATGATATGCAAAATCAGTATTTTAATTATATTTGAATTATTGCAGTGCCAGGTTTGGCAGGCGGCAAAATGTCTTCTTCGGAGGAGGATTCTAAAATCGACCTTTTAGATTCGCCCGCAAATGTGAAAAAGAAGTTGAAGAAAGCTTTCTGCGAGCCCGGAAACATCGCAGACAATGGGCTTTTGTCATTCGTAAAGCATGTGCTGTTCTCGCTATTTAAGGATGGTGAAGGTGTGTATATATTGAAATATATGTACATACATTCATTAAATAAAGATTTTAGCTTATATACGTTATCATCATTTCCTTCAGGATTTTCTGTTAACCGTCCGGCGGAATTCGGTGGAGATGTTACATTCCATAACTACGCTGACTTGGAGAAATATTATGCCGACAACGAATTACATCCAGGGGATTTGAAAGCATCCGTTGAAAAATACATCAATAAACTTCTAGAGCCAATAAGAAAAACATTCGAAAGTCCTGAGTTGCAGTATGTACATTTCATTGATTTAAACTGCGTTTCAAATAAAAATTTGTTTCACATAGAAAACTCAGTGCAGCTGCCTATCCAGCGCCAGGTAAAGCGAAAGCCGGAAATACTACGAACAATGCAGTAGCAGTTGAGGAGGATGGTCCACACCGTCTGGACATACGAGTTGGCAAGGTTGTAGAAGTTGCTCGTCATCCGGATGCAGACACTTTGTATGTATTAAAAATAGACTTGGGTGAGGCACAACCACGTACCATCATAAGCGGATTGGTAAAATTTGTCACAATCGAAGAACTGGATCAGCGATTAGTGGCGGTGCTGTGCAATCTTAAGCCATCTAAAATGCGTGGTATTCTGTCCGAGGGCATGGTACTATGCACGTCGAAGTAAGTAAAGATAGTAGTGGTAATATAGATTAGATATACTTATAAGTTCGCATTTGAACAGCGCTGATCACACTGTTGTGGAACCTATTATTGTGCCAGTCAGTGCCGCGCCTGGTAGTCGCTTGGCGTTCGAAGGATACCACGGCACTCCGGACGAGCAATTAAATCCCAAAAAGAAGGTACATGGCTTGAATCACCCGTTTATAGCTAGAAACTTAAAGTTGGTCTTGTTTGTTAAAGGTTTGGGAAAAGCTTTCTGTAGATTTGAAAACAAATACCGATGGTGCTGCCGTTTGGAAAGAGAACTTCCTACTCACACCCGAAGGCGAAAAGCTGACAAGCAAATTAGCAAACTGCAATATTAAATAAATAGAAATATAATAAACTAATTATGCATTGTCATGCCAGTTAAAGCTCTTATAAGGCGTAATTCTTAAAGTTTGTAATTCTCAGCGATTATGCAGCGTTCTAAATATTTATTTGCAATTTTTTTTTTTATATGTAGCACAANTAACTAATTATGCATTGTCATGCCAGTTAAAGCTCTTATAAGGCGTAATTCTTAAAGTTTGTAATTCTCAGCGATTACGCAGCGTTCTAAATATTTATTTGCAATTTTTTTTTTTATATGTAGCACAATAAACAACAAACGCTTTCAATAGCGAAGAAATCAGATATCCAGTTTTTTTAATAGACCTATATGTACNACTGTCCGAGGGCATGGTACTATGCACGTCGAAGTAAGTAAAGATAGTATTGGTAATATAGATTAGATATACTTGATACGTTCACATTTGAACAGCGCTGATCACACTGTTGTGGAACCTATTATTGTGCCAGTCAGTGCCGCGCCTGGTAGTCGCTTGGCGTTCGAAGGATACCACGGCACTCCGGACGAGCAATTAAATCCCAAAAAGAAGGTACATGGCTTGAATCACCCGTTTATAGCTAGAAACTTAAAGTTGGTCTTGTTTGTTAAAGGTTTGGGAAAAGCTTTCTGTAGATTTGAAAACAAATACCGATGGTGCTGCCGTTTGGAAAGAGAACTTCCTACTCACACCCGAAGGCGAAAAGCTGACAAGCAAATTAGCAAACTGCAATATTAAATAAATATAACTAATTATGCATTGTCATGCCAGTTAAAGCTCTTATAAGGCGTAATTCTTAAAGTTTGTAATTCTCAGCGATTACGCAGCGTTCTAAATATTTATTTGCAATTTTTTTTTTTATATGTAGCACAATAAACAACAAACGCTTTCAATAGCGAAGAAATCAGATATCCAGTTTTTTTAATAGACCTATATGTACATATGTATGTACCTACGTTTAAGTTAATTAATCGTTTTGGAAAACAGTGGGAGGGAATTGTTGAAATATATCCTCATTCGAGATCTCATATAGCAGGAGCATTTGCGCGGGTGAGATTAATCAAAAATTTGGATTATATGGATATATTTATCTATGTATGTATAGCACATTAAGAAGTTAATGAGCTTTAATTAATGTGATATCTATTTATAAATCCTTATTAAACTACATGGGTAATTTTGTCAAATTGTGCAAGAGTTCACAAGCCAGTTAACAGTATTAAGCGTTTAATGCAATAACTTACTGTATACATCATTTTTCTCCAAAACAAAATTTAACACAACACTATTATTTGAACATTTTGTTATTTTTTTATGAGTAAAATAGTTTTCAACTCAGGTTTAAGATTTTATATGGTAAAGTGGAAAATATCACTTCCTTCCGTGCAACCGCAAAAAAAACTGACGCTTCCGTTCAAGGCGGGAATCTATTGTGACGTTTTAGTTAAAGCTCAGAGAACGTAAACTTAAAGCTCAAACAGTCAATGACGGAGCCAGAGACGTAGGTTGACGCAGACACGATCTACCTTATGGCAGAGAACGTTTATAACGTTTTGAACGTTTTGTTATTCGTTTTTATTTTTCATTTTGCTTTAAACTATGCTACACGCTCGCCTCCGCAAGCATCCCCTCTGCCCAGTGCTTATTATATTTCTGTTCCTCTTTCCTGTTTCGTCCTTATTTTTTCATTTTGCTTTGAACTATGGTAAATTTGGCCGAAGTGTGGTGAGACGGAAAAATTTTTGGTATAGTGGCAGCCGACACCGTTCGTCGACGAGCGGTACATTTCGTCGTCGAGTGGTATATTCGGTCTACCGCACCCCAAAATTTCTGGTAGCAATTAGTTCACACTGAAAATGCGCCTTCTCATTTATAAACGTTCTCTGCTCAAACAGTCAATGACGTAGTCAGAGACGTAGCGTAGACGTAGGTTGACGCAGACACGATCTACCTTATGGGATTCGCGTGTTAACGAAAACTCACCACCGCATGGCGGTGACGTTGCCGTTGCTTCTCTCTCTCTCTATCAACAGTAAATTTGATATGCTGCTATGTACGTTAACCTACGTTTACGCTACGTCGTTGACTAACTGCGCATTCATACTTAAACTTACGTTCTCTGTAGATACACAATCAGCTGTTCTCATAATTATCTTCCGCTTTCCACAAATTCGGACCGGCATTGACAAAGGATTCATTTTTGATTTTGATCTCCAATTTGACCTATTAATTGTTGTGTATGTATTCCAAACGAACCTTACTAACCATCTTATCGCAGCACAGTATCCGGGCTTCCAGGCGATGGTCACATGACGAGGTACGTGTACGCTTCGCACCAAGTCCAACAGGTTAGTTTGAAATTTGTAATAAGCTATATTTAGTATGTAGTAATTTTATGACAAAAATTTGTTTCAAGGATATCTGCATTTGGGTGGACTCCGTACAGCATTATACAATTATTTGTATTCACGAAATAAAAATGGCAAATTCTTGCTACGCATAGAGGACACAGATCAGACGAGACTCGTGCCGGGTGCTACAGAAAGTTTGATTGAAGATTTAATGTGGGCGGGAATAAAAATAGACGAAGGTCCAGGATTTGGTGGTGAACAGGGTCCTTACGTGCAAAGTGAGCGTAAGCAAATTTATTTGTAAGTAGAATTAATAAATTTTGTATTAGAATCTATTATTATTCAAGTTCCCTTGTAGAGAAGCTGTACGCGAACTGCTTGAAAATGACACCGCCTATCGTTGCTTTTGCACCGAACGTCGGTTAGAACTTTTGCGTAAGGAAGCAATTCGAACGAGACAAGTCCCACGCTACGATAATAAATGCCGCTATCTAACACCACAGCAAATAGCCGTTTTATTAGCGAAAAATACTCCATATTGCATACGATTTAAGCTGACAGCTCATGAGGAGCCTCTCCAGGACTTGATCTACGGGCCGGTAACGCACAACGTCAGTGAAAACGAAGGTGATCCAGTTATCATGAAAAGCGATAACTTTCCCACATACCATTTTGCGAACGTGGTAGATGACCATTTGATGGGTGTAACGCATGTCTTTCGCGGCGTTGAATGGCAAATATCGACAACGAAGCATTTACTACTCTATAAGTAAGGGTGTCCTATTGTCGCCATGCGCTTAATGTAAACGTACGTTTATTTCTTATTTTCAACAGAGCCTTCGGTTGGCAACCACCCCTCTATGGCCATCTTCCACTTTTGGTCAACTCTGATGGTACAAAATTAAGTAAACGCCAAGGTGACATTGGCATCAAAAGTTTTCGGGATAAAGGCTATTTTTCGGAGGCACTCGTAAACTACGTTGTTAGCGCAGGTGGCGGATTCGAACATATGCCTGGACAAAAGCCACAAATATATTCTATGAACGAATTGGCACATCGATTTAACATCGAGCGCGTGAACTCACATCCTAGCCGTTTAAATCCCGACTTGTTGAACGACTTTAATCGACTGCATATACTAAAATTGCTGCAAAGCAAGGAAAACAGCAAAGACTTGGTAGAACGTGTAAAAGTTTTGGTGCGAGAAGCTTATCCCAAGGAGTAAGAACATTTTTTTGTATGTTAAATAGAGTATTAGTTTAAATACTGTACTTAATTCGCAGAAAAAATCTCGATTTAGGCAATCCGCATATTGAGAATGTTTTAAAGTGGGCATGCAGTCGTTTAACATTCATCGAAGACTTGACCGAGGCAAATTTGAGTTTCCTTTGGGTTCGACCTGTCGAATTCAAGTTAAAAAATGTCACAAATGGTGCGAAATAGTGCAAGAACTATTTATTTGGTAGTATGTACTAATATAAAATACTTTCAGATCAAATGGAATCTCTGATAGCGAATTTAGAAAATATAGAATTCACAAAAGATAATCTGAATCTAAAGTTGAAAGAATTCGCAGACAATAATAATGTGAAATTTGCAGTTTTCATGAAGACTCTTCGTTCAGCTCTAAGTGGTTTAAAGGTAAAATTTTCTTGAGCCCTTACAATAAAATTGTGCATGTCCAATTTAATAAACAACATCGCATAATTACAGGAAGGCCCCGGTGTTGCAGAAATGATGGACATTCTAGGAAAAGATTGTGTGTTACAACGTCTCAGGAGCAGCATTCATGCGCAAAGTATGGAAGCAGCGGCAAATGTAGTGAAAAAATGATAACCCTTAAGGGTGTTTTGTTTATCTGATAATAAAGGTTAATTATTTTCTAAGTAAAATAACGTGTAGTTTCGTTCGTCGATTTTTAATTTATTACGGTTTACGGCTTGAGACGAACAATTTTTGTTTGTGATCATTAATAGATTAATATGTATGTTAATAGTACACTCATAGTTTTTAATATGTATCGTTTATGAATACTGATTTTCATTCAAATATGTACCTAATTATAGGTTCGAAAAGGGGGATCATTGCATGCATTTCTTCAATACTCATATTTTAAGTATCGCATTTTATTCTATTACGGGGGGAAATATTGTTAGTAATAATTTCATACTGATATTTAGAGCAAGTTTAAATATTTGCCGATCTGTATCGCAAATTTTCCGCACCATACAAAGCCTATTTCCTTCATCCGGAAACTTTTCAGTCAATTTAACTAAAATCACGATTGGTTAGTACAATGGGTGCCACCAGACTCCACCCGTATATGGAGACTCCAAGCCAACTAGATATAATTTTGATCCACATGGAAGCAGCATTAGCGTTGAATAGTTCAATATCGGAGTTTGGTCTAAGACAGTAAAGAGTTTAACATTTGTATAATAATCAAATTTTGCATATAAAATTTAAAATTTACTTACTTATACCAGTTGGTAAGTGTCATCATAACATAGAGGGAAGCGCAAACAAATACAATATGAAACATGGACCAGGAATAGGTAACGCCTTCACTCTCGCTGTCGTTTGCGCCTTTGCCATCACCATTGCCGACTTCTGAATCTGAGAGAGCTTCTGTTAAGACTATGTTAGTTTAATTGGTTCAACATCAAAGATGTAGATATTTGTACAAAAAATATGAAAAAATTTCAAGTGAACCAAAAGAGGACCAAATCCATTGTACCGATGTTCGTACCATTAATTTCGTGTTAGTTCATTGTGGTTGTACATACATTACAGTAAAGGTGACCGAAAGTAGGAAATCATACGAAAATAAAATGTAAAAAAAGAGAAGAGTGTTAGCCATTTACAACGAATAATCTATTAATGATTTTTTGCAGTGTGATTAGTTGCGAGTGCCTCGGAAATCAGTTAATGTGAGAATGCAAAATAAGTGAAATTTTAATGGTGCCAACTCAGTTTGTGGTATTGATAAGAAAATGTGCATGATATTTGCTATAACTGATTATTTAGATAATGAATGTTTGGTACCAAATTGTTAGGGAATAATTGAAAATGCGTATGTATTTAAAAAAAATATATATCAAACTTACCGCGCTTTTCGCCGTCGTTATTTATTTTGGAAACCTCAACAGCCGAGCTGATGCAATTGTAGAGAATGCAGAACAACCAAACAATTAAGCCAATTATATTTGTTGTATCGAAAGTCACTTTCGAGTTGGGTGTTGGTGGCGCAATAGTCGTATTGATAGCTGTTACACCATTTATTACGCCATACATGCCAGGATTGCAATCCTTCTCTATTAGGAGGGATAGAAAATTCTAGTTTTTATATAAAATTAAACCACATTTGCGTGTAAGCGTAACCTGGGTTGTTGGCAACAGCAGACCAAGTCAAGTAGACAGTGTAGATGGTAACCAGCGAGCTTTGTAGGAGACCAGAGTGTGGCAAGCGATCTTGCACAGCTGGCATAACTGACAAAACGCTTGCAATCAGGCAAAGTATTAGATTGAAGGAGATGAAGAACTTGTTAAGACCGCAACCGTCTGACTGCAGGTAAAGATCGATTAAAGAAAGTTAACTAGAAAAGACAAGTAATAAATTAATTTTCAAAATTTGAAAAACTTACATGCGTGAAGTAGATGTAAAGCAAGGAAATGCCCACAATCGATAAAGCATAACTGGTAAGTGTAACACCGACCAAAGCATAAAAGTAGCCACGATTATTTTCAGCATTTTCTGGTAAACAAAATACGAATTTAATAAGCATTTATTTATTATGTGCATACGTAAACATATCACTAACCAATCCAATTTTCTGCCACAGAGTGTGCGAAATCCACAATTATTACCAATTGCACCAGTATGAAGGCTAGTCCACCAATCAATCCTACCCACATCATTGCTGGCCCGAAAGAGCCATCCGGTATGAAAATGGCACCAAAAGCAGCACCAAAACATATTAAAAATTTTAATCCCCAAAATTCATTTTGTATAGACGAACGTGGATCACGTGAACTCTTAACGCCTAACATAATTAATGCCATTAGCATAAAGAAGCAAGCCAATCCGAAACATAAGCGATAAACTGCCATATAACCGAGCGCATATTCACAGTCGACTTGCAGATTCCCAGTATAAGATAATGCCTTGGCGCTAACCGTCGAGGTGGAATTTATACAAAAAGGCAATTTTTTAAGAGTATCCTGTAGTCCGGGAGATAGTGCTATAGCGCCCAACACAGTGCCCACCAGCAGCATGAAGGCATACATAAAGCGTGATGAAGTGGAATTCTTACAGGAGGGGCATGCATTGCAACAGCAGCTGGCCGCAGTGCCGGTGCAACAGAGAGCGCACTAAAAAATTAAAAATTAAAAAAGTAAATGTTATATGTTGACCATATGGAAAACCCATAATTGAGGCAGATTCCCATATAAATTTAGAGGATGAGTAATGAGCGAATTGTAATGTATGGAGTGCGTATGCGCTTTGGTAGAAGGCAAAAATAATTAAGTTACGTATACCATCGCATTATGTATTGAATTTGGAAATTATTGATTTTTGTTTACTTATGCTGTCGAGAAAAGAACGCAATTTCTTGTTGTTGCTAATTGCAATGATGTAGACGCACTTACCTGTGCTGCAGAGCACAATCCCAAAACTGCTCCCATATTGAGCTAAGTTTTCACTTTCAAATATTTTTGATATCTACTGATTTATGTACGTGCTGAATAGGTAATATTTTTTAATAGTCTGCGATTATTTTGGATTTTTCCGAATGCAGTCAAGTTTCGCAATTTTTTCCTTTGTTAATAAAATGTCAACAAATAATAAAACACAGAGTTGTATTCGCTGCACCGTGATTTCAAGTCAATAAACATAGAAAATAAAAGAAGTGTTCACAACAAGAATGCTCTTGGCATCTCGGAACACTAAAGATGTTGGTATCGTTTCGGCAGTCTTGTCGCGGCCTTAAACCGAATCTTTAATATTTCATATTCTTGATTGAATCACATGACTTTTAAATATGTTTTTAAACAGTGCCATGCAAAAAAAAAATACACACTCACACATAGCGCACATAGCCTCGCAAGGCTATTGGTTGCCTGGCACTGTTTTAAAAATAAATAATTCGGAGAAGTTCGGCCAAACACTAACATATGTGTAAGCGCCAATCTATTATGATTATTAAAATTCGGTTTGAAAATAAAATCTAAAATTTTAAGTTTAAGATAATGTTTCAAAAAATCATTAAAAAGTGCATTACAATCAAAACTAAATTTAAAGTACGTCTACAAGTAAGTTGGTTGTAAAAAATACTATTATAATTTATAAGTTAATTATAAAAATCCATCAAGTAAAATATTTGTGAAATAACATACTCCGGGTTGGATAGAAATTTTAAGCAGAGCATATCTGTTCTCACTTAAACTGTTCCCATCTTGGTCTGTGCCTTCTCTAATTCGCAAAACAGCTGATTGCCGTCCTCCAATTTTTTGGCTTTTCTGCGTTTTCTTGCAACTTTTAAACGCGTGTTTCCACGTTACATGGAAACAAAATAGCAATCCCGGTTGGATCAGTCTTTTCATTTAATTTCCTTGTCGTGTGCGTGTATGCAGTAAATATACATATTTACCTATTTGCCCCCACCAATAGTGTAACGCCATTAAGCAAACAAACTCATTTGGAATAGCCGGCAAAACACCAAAATCCAAAGCAAAAGAAACATCCAAAGAATTTTGACAAAAACGCTGTGCGCTTGTACGTATTTGATAATTTTTATATGTACATTCGTGTGCGCTATTGTATCACCTAACGACTTTCAGAACGCGAGGCATACATCCACTTTCACGTTCTGCTGTTCTCTGCTATATTTTCAGTCTACTTGAACAATACTGTCGTGCGGTTGGTTTTCTAGCGAACATCGTAAGAAGCTATTACCTAACTGAATATATCATGTCTACTTCTGTGTATGAAGGTGTTGAAAAGGGGCCAGCCATTGAGGTGTTTGCCCTAAATCGGGCATTTTTGGAGGATACCACACCTAAAAAGGCTAATCTCGGAGTGGGAGGTAAGTTGCATTTTGGAGAATGATTAGTATAGAATATTTGTAAAGGTGAATGCAAGCGAAGCAACAATTGTCCCGTCATCCAACTCTACTAACAACCTGTATAGTAAAAAGTATGGACAAAATATATTATTATACTATGTATGTATGTATTACCAAAGCAGTAGAGGAGTATCAGCGATAGCACTTCGTACCACAATAGTATACTTAAGGAGGAATTGTTCTTAAATATGTACATATGTACGTAATAATACGAATTGTCACGCGCAGTTTATAAAACTCTACGTTATTGTTTATGAAATCTGTACTGCGACTGCCAAGAGGTCAAATCAAAGGTCGAATTCACTATGCCATATGCAATATAATGATTATAAGGCGTTATGGGGGGTGTATTCGCTTTAGTTTGTTGAACATTTTCTATTTACTATTGTTTCTGTAAGTTATGTTTTATTTTTTGTTAGTTTTCAACCATGTATGTATATCAACGGATAATTCTGCATAAATACATATCGTCGTTTAAAGTACAAAACCGCGTATCGTCATTCTGCAAAACCGGGTAACTGGCATTTGCTGCCAAAAATTNATATGTACGTAATAATACGAATTGTCACGCGCAGTTTATAAAACTCTACGTTATTGTTTATGAAATCTGTACTGCGACTGCCAAAAGGTCAAATCAAAGGTCGAATTCACTATGCCATGTACAATATGATGATAATAAGGCGTTATGGGGGTGTATTCGCTTAAGTTTGTTGAAAGCTTTCTATTTACAATTGTTTCTATAAGTTATGTTTTATTTTTTGTTAGTTTTCAACTATGTATGTATATCAACGGATAATTCTGCATAAATACATATCGTCGTTTAAAGTACAAAACCGCGTATCGTCATTCTGCAAAACCGGGTAACTGGCATTTGCTGCCAAAAATTGGATTTGCTCACACAAGCTTTTGGCGACTCGCTGATTTATTGCCGTGGTGACCAATCGGCAACATAATTTCTTTCATGTAAATTTTTGGAATAAATAAGATATCAAAAATGCCAAAACTTATGAATTTCGCGTCAACAGTATTATCCAAAAGCATCTACTTAATTGTCGTATTGGGAAATCGCGCTTTAAGTTTGGAATGCAGTTTTTCGTTTATTACTTTCGAGTTTATGAAGGATTTTCCTTAGTAAAATTATATCGTATGCAAAATTTGTCAAAAATCTCGGAAACTAAAAGAGATATCCAGAAGTGGAAAGCGCAATTTAAAAGATCTTGATTAGCGTAGTATAACTGCATGTTTTGCTCTACTTGTACTAAATTACCGATAGAATTTTAGTCAATATTTCGTAAACTACAGGAGATATCCAAAAACTTATAACACCAATCTAAAGATCTTATTTTAAAATGGCGCTTATGACAATCTTTTGTATAGGCGACAATATGCTAATGTTTATAAGCAAAGTGTGTTTAAAAAAATGCTTTGCGGACGCAAGAGGTGCTCGGTTGAGCTTCCTATTGTAATCAAAACAAACAATGTCTTACCGGTTGTTTTAATTTGCATACTTACCACATTTTAATGTGTGTTTTTATAGAGATGATGCGAGAGTGATGTGAAATTATAAAATGTACCCATTTATATACATACATATGCAGTAGATATATACACATGTAGTTTAGTTTGTATGTACTACTACTGCGACGTAATTTAGTTTGTAATTTTTTTTACTTGGCAACAAAACTCTCTTGGCATTTTGTAAGCATCTGACCCAAAGTTGGGTCAATGTACCCATTAACTTTTTTTTAATTTTGTACAAGTTTGGCGTTCGAATTAGGCAAGGGTTTTACAATTTCTGTGTTATGAAGAGGTTTAGCTTGCCATTTATATTTAGTATGTATGTATGTATATAAATTCAATTTTTTCGCCTATAAATAAATCCTCCCGATTTCAAATGTACATATATGTATTTGCAAATATGCACATACATATGTATAATGCTTCTGTGTATACGTTTGTATGTATGTACATTCAAAAATATGCAAACATACGACTGCAAATTGTTTATTCGCATTTTTGACAGTGAACTTGACCAAATCAGCGTATTATCTACATTAATAAGCTATAAATAAATATTATATGTACATATGTATGTATGTAGAAAGGCTCTTACTAAATTTTTAAGTTTTTTTTTTAGTTATTGCGTAAAGAAACAAACAAGTTGGACACTATGTATCTACAAACATAATGGCAATAAATTAGTTTACATTTTATATCAAAATTTATTATTATTATTTTTAAGGAATGCCAAAATGTGCGGGAAATTGTGGTATTTTTTGTTAGTAAACCCGGGATTCCGGGATTCATATTGAGACATAACTTTTATGAATATGAATAACCATACCATGAAATAAAACTATTTAAAATTTACGATAAACTGTCTGTTTCAGGAACGCACATATCACAAATAACTATAGGGGTTTTCACGATCCGGTGCATACTGTCTAGCATGGTGCACCGGTAAAACCCAGGTACTCTTGAAAGTAATGAGTAATAAAAAAAAAACATTCAACAAAAAGATACCCAAACAAATTCTCTAAACATGTTTTGTTCTATTCCATAAAGAAATGGCAAATGGCGAATTCTTCGAAATTTTTTTCGCAAGTTACTCCAAATTTTGAGGGTGTACGATTCAAATGGACCTCAGATTCGGATTCAGCGGGGCACACACCCTTTTTTTGTGCAGGGATTGTTATTATTGCACTTCAAATGTGTACGCAAGAGCAGCAAAGTATTTAAAGCGGAGTCTTCTAATCTTGATCTGAACTTTTTACATACAAATCCGGCTGATGAAAAACATCATTCGGCTTCAACACTTTTGGGCTGAACTGTCCAAAGGTAGTAATTTGAAGATATCTTGTCCATTACAAAATATTTGAACTTCTTTTACCAGTACGTCGGATAAATTATAAGTTTTTTGATTTGAGGAAGTTTGAGTAAATTAATTAAAAAAAGTATGTAATTTTTCGTTGACATTAGCGATGCTGTGAGTACAATCATTTAAATCTCCTTAAAAAAAGTTTAAGGCTGCAATTTTAAAAGTATAGTTTCAAGCTTTTTGTTAGTTGTAGTCAAAACGGCATTTTACAAAAATCATACTTCAAATTGATAGAAAAAGTTCTTACTCTTAGAAAAAGTTCTTAGTCTCTCAAAAAAACCAGGTTCCCGGGATTGCCATCCCTAGTTCATATGAATGTAGCAATCAGCCATTAAATCAAGTTTTTATATCAAATAGATATCTATAACCGGATTGGAGGGAGATCAATAACCCCTTTTCCAGCGCATGCCGTATGAATTAATTTAAATTTAATATATTCCGTACAATCATTCAAAAATCGCCTTTCCGCACTGAACTTGCTCAAGCTACATTTGTAATCATCTGTTTTCGTTATCGTAAAATTGATCCACTTTTACTTTTCATTTTGCAAAAGTCGCACCACGTAGTCCATTTTTATTTTTAAATTAACATTTTATTGGGGTAGGTAATACATGCTATACCGATTTTTTTTTTTTATTTCAGATGTTGCTGTTGTCAACGTCCTATTTTTGTATATTGTCGTTTAAAGTTCAAAACCACGTATCGTGGTTCTGCAAAACTTCGTAACTGACATTTGTGCCAAAAAATATATTTGCTCATTCATACTAAAATATCGATACTTAGATATAAGAAGGAATAATAAGGGATAAAAGAGAGCACCGCTTTGAAATAAGACAGATTTTATTCCCTCCTTTAAAGTTTGGGCAACCTCACATACGAAGTTTTGCATTTTCTTGATAAGCGGTTTTGTACTTTAAACGACGATACATATATGCATATATGTATAGAAATATAAATATATGTACATACATGTGTATACCAAAAATTATGCCAAAAATAGGACTGAAAATAAAATCAAAAATCAAAAATTTTGTTGTCCCAAATATAGACTTCATTGGTATTGTTGGGGAGGTCCCAAACTACACAGTAAAAAAGGTCGTTGATGTTGACGCATTTGAAACCAAATATTTTAGTCAGAGCCACATCAGTTTTGGGCTTTACACGGAAAAAATTTTCAAAAATACAACTTGTGACATACTAAGTTAAATTTTTAATTTTTCCGTTTAAAATTGCTTAAGATAACTGCAAAAAATTAACTTCAAAAAAAAGTTTGAACTCTGCAGTTTGCATGTCAAATCATGTTTTTTTATTCCATAAATCAAAAGAATGGTATTTTATCCGTTGAAAAATAAAATAAAAATCTGCCACTGTGTTGCACTTTGCGAAACAATGCGGTTTTGGCAGATGCATCAAATCATTTTTCTGCGCAATTCGTTCGATTTTCAAAAATGAGAAGGCACATTAAATGCATTGTATTTTAAATGTGTTACAAAGGTCTAATTTTTGGAAGCAGCCCGAGAAAAATTAAACAGGGGGTTCCACAGGGGTGTGTCCTTTTCCCGCTGCCACCAGAGGGAGTATCTTCTCGAAAGTAAACGGTTACCTCTACGAACTTTCCACAGGCCAGACTACAACTGGGAATTCACGTCGATGGCGAATAACCCAAAAATCCTCGGAATCTCCTTCAATAGTCTGTTCTCCTTCTCGGTGCAATTGTTAATCGAGTACAGACCCACAACAAGGTCCTCAAGTCACTAGCCGGCAGCACTTGGGGGCAAAGACAAAGAAACGTTGCTGGCAACATACAAAAAAATTGGCCAGCCGGTCCTAAACTATGCAGCGCCCGTGTGGTCGCCGGGGATTAGCAGAACGCAGTGGACGAAGCTACATGAATTCCAGAACACGGCACTTCGGCCCGCGACAGGACGCCTCCTGCTGTTGTTGAAGGTGGTGTTTCATGACGGGGCCCAGATGCTCCCCATCAGGGGGCATAACACAATGATATGCAAGCAGTTCCTAGCTGGGTGTCACAGACGTGGGCATCCGAACAGACAACTGCTTGCAGAAGAGCCCTCGCCCAGGC